GGAACAAAGGGTGGGAAAGATACATGGCACAACACGACTTAACAGATGCTCAAATAACCAAGAACGGAGCTTTGTGGAAGATGGTCATAAATTCATTGGTATGTAAACCAACAGCCAAAGCTTGTTTTCTGAAGTTGATAGGCAAGGGTAACATTCAAAGTTGGGAGGTTATCAGTGACGAATTAAAAGAATTAATTTGGGAATATCTCAAAGACAAACGTTCGAGATATAGTCATGAAAGGCCTCAACCTGATCCTGGCATGAATGATTTGAAGGAGATATTGGCAGAAAGAGGCGATCAGGTACTGAAAAGCATGGGATGCTTGGAAGAATTTCGTTGGGCTGTGGTTGAAATAGACTTTCATGGGAGCCTCCTTTTATGGCACATTGCCACTGATATTTGCTATCATGATGATATTCGCAAAAAGAATGTTGATGCAAAGAATCCTCCTCCATATTGCAAAATGAGCAGATCGTTGTCTAATTACATGTTGTATCTTCTAATTGAACGTCCAAATATGCTGCCTAAAGGGATTGGTGACGAAAGGTACAAGCAAACGGGCATTCAAGTCACCGAATTCTCGTGGTGCTGGAGATCGGAAATAATAACACCCACTGATTGGGGTTCTGAAGAGTTTTTGAATAAAATAAAAAAAAATGGAAACAAGGTGTCAATGCTACGTGATGCTTGCAAGCTCGCCAAGGAATTACAATCTCCGGAGAATAATTCGACCAGCGAAAAAAAGTGGAGGATGATAAGTCAAATATGGGTGGAGATGTTGGCTTATGCAGCATCTAATTGTGGATGGAAAGAGTATGCTCAAGCACTTACACGTGGTGGGGAGCTCCTCACTCGTGTGTGCCTTCTCATGGCGCATTTGGGTTTAAGCGAGCAGTGTCTAACAACTAGAAGAACCGTTTTCATGGAAGATCGGAGTTCCGGGGAAGCTTAAGATCCATAGTTTAAGTCTTGCTCCTATAAATTTTCAGTTGGTTGCTCTTTTTCTATGTTTGAAATATTGTTTGATCCAGTTTGAGAGTCTTCTTTACACGGAGACTAGTTTTAGGACTCTTTATTTCATTTCATCATTAGTACTGTATTTTGGCGTGGGATTTTCTTGTGTGAAATTTTGTAATTTTTTAAAAATAAAAATGTGGCCCTGTGACCTACACAGGCTTAGCACTCACTTAAAAAAAAAGAAAAAAAAAAGAGGAATCTTAAGGAAGATGTGCAAAATTGATGTGTATATGTACTTGATGAAAGTTTTTGCAACACTCTTTGATTTGATTTGGGAGAACAAAAGGCATGAAGCTACAGACAAGGGTTGAAGCGCAACCAATCAGTATCAACGAAACAGCACGAAAAACCCATAATTGGAACACTTTAAAATAAATAAATCTTGAATGAAAAAAATACAACCTCTTTTGTCTTGCAGAAGTTTCATACCCTCTTTTTTTTACCAAGATTTCCCTTTGTTTAACAAATTCGAGCTACAAAAGCTAAAAGTTCAAAAAATATGCGAGTAATTGTTTATTTGGCGGACGCAATCTCTCCTGTAATAAATTTATCAGGTTTTTTTCGGATAGTTCTTTTATAATCCACATAAATACGGAACTTAAAAGGTAGTTGTCATTATCCTCATGTGACCGACTGTAAAGTCGATGGTGGGTTGGAGAAATGGAGGGTCTTGGGAGTTGGGACAGCTATATTGGTAAAAAAGGACGGATTGTGCGTCTCATGGGCCGGTCTTTTATAGTGCCTCACTATATTTGCTCGAGCCCAACAGCTATAGTGCTCTTTTGCGTGGCCTTGAAAGAGCCGAGAAATTAGAATCTTGGCTCGATTTCAGGATGCCACTACCTTGAACAATTCAGACGAGAGCATAGGGGCAGGCAGGACTGATTTTATCTCCATATGAGATGTCCCGAGGAAAAACAAGGCAGACGAGAGGAGGAGGAGTGGATCGTCAACAATAACAGGACGAGAGGAGGAGGATGATCGTTGTCTTCTTCAGTTCTAACTAATAATCTCATTTTGTCCGTGGACTGGATGCATGGAAGAACTACTTTATCTGATTCGGAATGCTATCCTGATAAATGCACCCTCTGTCATCTCCCTGTGCTGCCGAGCCAATGGGCTTCGTACAACAAATCATAACAATCACAGAAGAGAAAAGTCAGTATTCTAGTCCGAAGAAGAAAAGGAAATGTTAATGCGCTCACGATAGAAAGATCTTAAAACCATAACCACGCCTGAAGAATTTCACAGCGCATCTACTTACAAAAGGCTATTGCTGCTTCCATAAAGCTGGGAGAGCTCTTAAATGAAATAAATTTCCAATTTATCTAATTTTATTGTCATTCATTAATAACAAGTATCCTATTAATTACTCTCTTGTATTTACTTTGAAAAAATAATCAAATATAAAAAGAGAAAAAATAAAATTGAGAAAAAAAATATAATAAAATATCACTAATTATTTCTTGATATAATAAGATTCCAAACATCTTAGCTACTCTCTATTTTTATTTATTTTAAAAAGATAAAAAGGTTGTATGCTTGTTGTTACTGTTAATGTATGGATTAGCCTGTTTTAAAAAGGATGGATATTTGTAAATGTATGGATTTCTTTTTAGTGTATGTTTGAAAATGTAAAGTAAAATATGAATTTTTATTTTTGTAAAACATGCATTTTTTTTCTTTTTTTGTTTTCCAAGCTGATCATTAAAGATTATTTAATGGTCATACTTTTTTTAAGAGAAAAAAATCTATTGTTTGAGGTTTTAAATTATATATATTGAAATAGAATTATTTTTTAAAATTATAATTTTCTTAATTGGATACTTTCACAAAATTTCAATAATGGAAAGGTGAAATTAACTAATTGAATATGATCTTAAGTTTACAAATAAATAAAACAATACATCATGTATAAAATCTTGAATAAAAAAATAAAGATACACAAAAAAAAAGGATGATATATTTTATTGTATTTATAATTTAAATAAAAAAAAGCACAAAAAAGAAATTCAACAAATTAATTGTCAAAAAATTTAGAAATAATAATATGAAAAAAATAAGAGGAGATGCGTCTAGACTTAAACCCATACGAGTGTAGCCTCTCTCTAGCGAGGTGAATTTGGGCTAGTGTCCAAGTCTATTAAATTTTTTTAACAAAAATAAAATAAAATCATAAACAATGGATAGTTCAATGTGCATACATTATCGTTTATTTTTTTACCTGAAATCTGGGAGTATTTTGACAAACCACGAGGCTTAACATCAAAACTTATAAAAGTTAAACCTAGAAAAGATCTACTACTCAATTTGTCTCTTTAAAAATCTTACACCACTTTAAATGGTTCGGAAATCAATCTTTACATGGTAGAAAACACAAAATCTTAAATTAAATTAAAAAATAAATAAATTAAATATGAAATTAAACTTAAAATCTAAAATAAAACATTAAATAATAAAAATGGCTTCAACAATGAAAACAAATTCATACACTCACGGACTCAGTGAATATTGTTTGACTGCAGTTTACTTATTGTACAAAGGATTTTATTCCAAATTAAACAGGAAGTGTTGCCATGAAAATCACGAGCTAAGTAGATGCCTGCACAGTAAAGGCTTACCTTGCGACCAAAGGGAAAGTAATTTATTCTGGAAGTCCAACATTTCCTCTCTCCTGTACCTTGTAAGTAAATATATTTTTATGTTATTGCAAGATGAAATTTAAGTGTTTGTAGTCCAAAAAATCATGTTATTAATAGATTTTATGATATAAAAAAGCACGTAAGGAATGTTGATGATATCTTCCTTTACATTAAAAATTAACTTTAAATTATTCTTGCAGCGTAGTGTGAACGCGATAACTAATATTAACGCCGATAAAAATTACTAAAGTCCTAAAAAAGTAATTAATTTTATTAATTTTCTTATCCATGCCATAAACTTTTCATAAAGTTTTGCTTGTGAATAGAGAAAGTAATTTATTCTATATTTTTTTCTTGCAGAGATCCCTTTATAAAGATTTGAATTGTGATGAGAATAAACAATTTATTACATTTATATGCTACATTATCAAGTTTATAGCGCCACCAAATCCCTATAAAAAAAAGAAAAAAACATAGTTTTGAGGCATAAGGGCTCGAAACACTATTTTCTCGATGGGGGACAGCTTTAGGTGATATGACTCGATGTCGAGCGTTGAGTCGGACTGATAATCATGGTTTAGGGTCAAATTACTCAACCTTGAACTTTTGAAATCCCATAAAAAATTGGGGGAGGAATTTGTAATTTTATTTCTTAATTTCAATTTTAAGCACCACATCAACTTATTTGTGTCTAAGAATCCTTGCTATCAAATTGGGGGATGCTTTTACATAAAGTAATAAAAAAATCTATAGAAATCAAATAAAAAAAAAACTACAAGATTCTTCTTCATCCAATCTAATTGCTCGAGGAATAATTTTACTTTAGTTTCCAAGGAGGGCAATTGATGCTCTTGTCTATGAAACTTTAGAATATTTGCGAGCGCTGATGAGACTAAGGTAGAGAACTTGCAAATTAATCTTCGAATAAAGAACATGAAAGTTAACCTGAGAAATATTTTAACAATAGATATCCGAAACGACTTGTTTGTAACGCATCCGAATGTTGTTTTCTTATCGGAATTAAAGCAAAGAATTTGAGAACTGTATACTTTAGTCAATCGGAGGAAAAACCTCTGTTTTCCTAACACTCTGTTCTTTCTATTTTCGATCATGTCGAAGGCTTTTCTTAAAGGGGTAACTTGTGAATACAGAAAGTAATTTATTCTATATATTTTTCTGTTGCAATAATCTCTAACATATGCTTAGATAACGTTGGGAAACTATCTCTGGACAAACAGAGATAATGGAGAGAGGGAATCTGTTTTCCTGTTTTTTTTTTTTTTTTTTGAAATTATAGAAATCCACTTCAAAACTGTTTTAGAGATAGATTTATTTCATATATCTTTTTAATAAAAAACATTTCTATTTCTTTAGTGTTAGTTCATTCTTTCTCTGATAATATGTATTAGTTGATTCTATCTTGAAACGTTAACCAAATGTAACTTTATAGACCTTTCATTGAGTTTTGGCTTGTGATGAGAGCAATACTTTATCCTATTTCTTCTATCAACTATATAAGAACGTTTGACTGACTTCACTTTGGGTACTAGTAGGAATTTTATGTTCAAGTTTATAGAGTTCCACAATCTCCATAAATAAATCACAATCTCTATAACTAAAACACAGATTTGTGGGACGAGGATTGGCAGGCGACATAAGCTGGTTGAACGGAAGCAGAGCCCGCAGACATTCACCAAACGTTTGGGCTGCAAAGTTGTGAGTATGTGTCTCTGTATCTGAACTGTTTTTTGACATGTTTTGAACTCTAAATCTCTCAAGGTGTATGGCTGCTTCACACTATACACATCGAGGAACCATGTCTTTTATCTTGCGGTGATGATAAGAAAGTATTAGAAAGCATAAAACTCGAGGGCTTACATCTTACAACTGGCTACTGATAAGTCATATGGTTAAGGGTAATGTAACTGCATAGAAAGACAAACCATCAAACATCTTCACCCTAATCACTATATATTGCATATCAACAGGAAAAAGGGAGAAAAAAAACGACATCTGTATCGTATTTGATTTCTCTAGTTTAGTTAAGTTCTTTTATATACATATAATGATTTTGGTAGATTTATTTATTTTTGAAAATGTTTTCTTTTCAGGGTCTTGTGGTCGAAGATGTGCATGCATGATTGTCTAAAACTGTTGAGGAACTATGGAGTGGATGGGGGCTTCGCACATTGAAGCTACGCAATCTCTTTCTTCGAATACTATCGGATTCTAACTTGGTACTGCTGTTCGGTTAGTATACCTATCACAAACTGGGTTGCCGTTAAATTTAAGGTTTAAGAAAAACTGAATCCAAGGTTTAGATTGTAATACTAACAAAATAGAAAACAAAATGAAAATCATTTAAAAGCTTGAAGAACGAAGTATATATGAAGAATGGAAGGATTGAAAAGTTACGTTTTCAAACCTGTGTTTTATAAAATTAAATTAAATTAAACAAGTTCTTTGAAGTGTTCTTGGAAAAGTTATTATTTTACTATCTAAAACTCTTGAGATCTTTCTATTACTCCTCAAAATATATTTGTTTTATCCTAATAACATCCATATTTGCAGTGGGTAAATAACGCTTAAAACCATGTTACCAAAGCTGAACAATCATCAATCCTCAGCAGTGGCAACATTATCATTGGGTATCATTGCTCTCAGCCGAGCCAACTCTGCAAATCCGAAGTTGATTCCAATAATTCGGCTTCCAACCCTACTTCTTCAGCTTGGTGGTCCTTGAATTGTCACAGCTTATTCTATGGAAGACAACGAATTATAGCGAAGGCACCTTCTTGGTAGCAGTCCAAGTCGGGGTGGCTTCTTATGTCTTGTTCAAGTTACGAAGCAGGCATGCCATCATGCTAGTAGCCATTCCCGTCTTTATTTCAGGAATAATCAAGTATGGAGAAAGGATATGGGCTTTCAGGTTAATTAGCAAGTTCCCAGACTTTTGAGCACTACACAGACAATCAATTATTCTTCCAGCCACGCTTCTGTTCTAGAACATCGCTTCCGAGTTTGCATAGATATCTCTATGAAGCTCGTCTTTTGTTCAGGATGCTGTTCACAAATTTAGTTCTTGGCATTGATGATCAAAAGATAACCTACGATTTGATTTCGAAAAAGAATACCAAATTAAGAAGGCTTAAGTTGATAGAAGTCCAGGTGGGAATATTCATGTATGATCTGCACTATTCTAAGGTGAGAAACGTTTCTTTTCCACGCATCATCCTCCATTCTATCACCTTCTTACCTCTGTTTCTGCATTAGTTGCCTTCTCAACAATAAGCACAAAGAAGAACGTGTATTCTAACCCTTGAGTCCCCGATACCAGTGATTTCAACGTCCTAAAGCAGCTATAATAATTAGCAGAGAGAGGTGACGTGGCACATTTCGAGGCGAGGATTTCTTTTAAAAAATTGGATGGAGTGTGGTTGGTGTAGAATTCATTAATAGCCTCCTTTCTTGGCACATTGTTACTCGTGTCTGTTATTGCTTGGTCTGTGATAAATTGTGCCCTTGAGTGGGAGAAAATAAATAGCCATGTAATTAGTTCATATAAAATTTTAATGCTGTTATATTTTAGTGTAAGGTTTATTTGTAAATGTTTTTATTTTCTATATTTTTGTGGCTATAAAGAGGATAGTCAAAATAATTTTTAGATTATTTTAGGATTTTGGGTAAAAAAATTATATATAATCTTTTATTTTCACATAGTAAATTTATTTAGTCGGCTTAAATTATAAATTATATGGATGGATTGTATGGTTGACCGTTCTTGATTTTTATATTTTTTTTATTTTTCAATTGATTTTTATATTTCTACCACAATTATCATAACATTATCAATTAAAAAAATGGTGTTGGCAGTAACCTCGATCCAAATTAATTAATTATATAATTACATGGTGTATCATTTCTTTTCAGAAAACTCTAAATTAAAAAGGTCTGCATAAATTTTTGGATAATCAATCTCTTTTAAAAAAATATTGACAACGGTCATAGATCTAAAATCATTGTTAAAAAAAATATTATTATTAAAAACTAGAATCCAATTAACATTAATATTCCCAAATTAAAAAAAAATATTTATAAACATTAATAATTAAATAAATATTACATTAAATCAATTATGCTACAAAATTAAAAAATAGTGTCCCGCGTAAATAATTATCTTTGAACAACCTTTGATTTTGTTGAAACGGGACACGTGGGCAAGATTATGTGAACTATTTCCCCTTTTCATTTAAGATTTTTTGTTTTTATCTTAATAGTTAGTTGAACTATGGCATATTTTGATTTATTACCCTTCTAGCTAGGGTCCATTAATAAACTCATTAAAAGCACATGAAAATCACAAGCATAGCAAAAAAAAAAAAAAAACACAAAATCAAAATACGCCCCCAAAAGATTTTATTTTATTAATAGTTGAGATATTACATGTTTATATTTACGTCATTTTTTTAGATTCCAGTAATAAAATGCTAAAAATATATGAAAATCACATGCACAAAATTAAAAAGTAAAAGCAATTAATAAATGAGAAATTATACATTAAATAATGTTGAAAACAAATGAAGGAATAAATAATAGAAAAAAAATCCTACTTCTCATGAATCCTACAATCCAATAATAAATGAAGAAATCAAATCATATGCAAGCTAAAATTAGTTTTATTTTTCTATTATTCTTGTTTAGGACTCTTATTCCAATTATTTATTCCTTCATATAAACATTTGGTTTTTATATTATTTAATATTTAATATTTTATTTATCGATTATTTTCACTTTTGTTATTATACACGTTATTTTCAGTCACTTTTCAACATATTATTAACACAACTTAAAAAAAAAAAAAAAAACCAAAAAAGGAAATAATTT